TAGAAAACTGGTGCTAGAATCGACCAGAATTCTTTGTAGAATTCTGCAGGAAAGCCATCTGGACCTGGAGCCTTATTTGCATATCTTATGTTACAGATTTGCTTAAATGAACATGTTTTGCAAGCCAAATTAAGACTCAGAGTGCTTTCATTTCTCTTTGGTTAGTCTCAAAAACAACGTGATTAAAGAATATATTGAATATACTCTTTTAGTATGGTATGGAACATCTGCATCATTTAGTATACTGATAGTAAGGAAAGCATAGATATATGATTGTTATTTGCTTCTACCGTTGAGGAAGTAACCAGGCTGGCAGGCAAAGCAGTGCGTGTTATTCCTGCAGTCTTCACATGGTGCTGGGCAGGAGAGACAGACACGCCTGCCTCTGTCCTCATAGGTGCTCTGAGGACAATGTCTGCGACACTGGTGCCTGAAACTGTAGAAAAAGGTTCATTGAAAATCTTCCATTGGTTTCTTTAACTTGTTTGCACGTGGTGAGCAATAATAATCCCTGGCAATTAGCAAAGTATTTTTCCTCAGTAGAACTTTTAATAGGTCAGTGACTGCATTACTTGAACTCCCTGCCACAGCTATTAAATGAAAGTAGACTCTGTTTTGCAAAGCAAACATGCTGAACAGAACTATTGTGATATCAAAAAAGCCGATGAAAAGCACCATGATCTGATGGCAGCAGAAACACAAGGTATACCGCACACAAGCGGTAATCCCAACATGCATTGTGTCAGTAAGCCGCACACCTGTAGATGAATTGTTGACTTCAGAGCACTCTTCTCCCAACTCATGCAGTTTAGACGAGCAACAGTAGGGACAGGAAGCACAATGTAAGCTGGCTTTCTTCAAGCATATTGTGGTTCTACTTTCTTCTTAAGGCGAAAAGATAATTGGTGTTTTATTTGTAGCCCGCAGGTATGGGGTGATTTCTGTCATTAACCTATCCTATCAGTCCTTCGGGGCTTAACTGTCTTATTAAACATGAGACAGCTGCCCCAGAAACGAGCTTTAAAAAAAGTGAAGATTTGATTTGCAAAGATGTCACGCTAAAACATTAAAGAAAGAGGGACTTAGCCAAGCAGCAAATAAGCCACTAACATATGTGATGCAGCATCTTGTGTAGCCTATTCCACCACCTTCCTACATAAGGGAACCTGACCAGTGACAGCCCAACCTGCCCTTCCTACTGCGTTGCCGTGGATCTGGTGCTAAGATGTGGGGGTTGTTTGAAGAGGAACAGCTGGAGGCGCCACGATGCATCCATCAAGTGGTTCACAATAGCAGCTGGTACAAACCAGGCCCCATTTCTTGCCAGGAAAAACTACTCTGCTTTAAAATCTGCAGGATGTTTAAGAATCCCCCTGTGCAAACACCAGGCTATCCATTCCAGAGGAGCACATTTGCATTTCCAACGCAACTTCTGTTTAGGTCTTTTACTCCTGGACTTTGTTAGTAAGGAAGAAAATATACTGCAGGTAGTCTCAGAAAAGAGAAAGCCCCGGGAAATGAAGGATTTAAATTATAGTGAGAATGAATCACAGCAATTTTTGGTTTTGCTGCACTTCTTTGGTTCCTTGGGGAGGAAAGTAAATGCCAATAAATACCAAACATCCATCATGCTGTGATTTCTTTTAAAAGGCGGCGTTTAATGCAAGAGTAACACTGGCCTCACTGATTCATGGTTATGCCAAAGCTGTCGAACTTTAACATTTTTCACTACCAGCAAAATCTCAAAAGGAGGAATTTCTTTTAGTGCTCGAAACTGTCACAATCTGTCGCAGTGTGGCTGTTTTTCCAATTTATAACAGCTCCCTGCTGGATTATATTTATTTTATTTTTGTCTGCTACACATGTAGATATATAATAGCTATAACAGCATAAAATGCTAAGATGAACAGTCATATTGAATCTCTAAAACCATACTTTTAAAGAAAACTACACAAGCAGATGCAGAAAAATAGACTATCCCAATAAACCTGTGTAGCATCCACAAAAGCAGGTGCTGGATTTTCTTGCAGCTCTTCCATCTCTACTTGTTTTTCTCTACTCCTTACACATAAGAACACTTTGTTAAGTCTCTTCTGAGCTCAAAACCAAGGCTCAGGTAACAGCGTATGATTCTGAATGGAAGGTAACCTGATTCACACGATTCCAGGAGGCCTAAACTCGAGGGAGGAGTGCACAATTGGGGGGTCTGTTCTGGCTCTATAACCTGTGTTACACACTGCGTCCAATTGATAAACTGGTGTAAACAGGAATATAGATGCAATTTTCTGTAGAGGCAAGAAAGCTAAGCATATTCTGATAAGCAATTTGTAAAATGGTTGGCCATATAATGCCTCACAGTGCATGTAGATTTACAAGACCCGTTTTTTGTTGTTGTTGGTTTTTTTTCCTGCAAAGCAATACCATTGAATGTAAAAAACAATTACAGGGTCATTGTGAGGTTAATTGCTTCTTGGCAGCATATTTAATCTCCATAAAAAAGGAAAAACTGTTTGAAAAATCATAAAGCATAGCATGCAAAAGCATAACTGTTCCATGCCGGATAAACAAATAACTAAGTCGAGTTTTCTCATTTTACTATTTTTGCAACATTTCAGTCCTTTTGAACCCAAATTTATAAGCGTAAACTGATTAACTAATTTTAAAACTGTTAAAAATCAGAAAAGAAATTACAAAAAATAATGATTTCAATTTTTTGTGTTTTTTTACTAATAATTACTAATATTCAAACTAATAGAAAATACCTGTCAAATCCATAAACAATGAAAAGATAATTCCCAATTGACGCTGTTGTCTGTGGATGATTTCAGAGCAGAACAGGAGGAAAACACAGTTATCAAAATATAATAATAAGGTAAGAAAAAAAACACTCACAGGAAGTAACCTTCAACACAGCTGCTACAGATCTCTGGGTCTTCTGGGAACAGAGGAGAAAAGGTGATTAATTAGCATTCATAGGGAGAAACAAACTGCATTGTGCTCCTTTATCAGCGTTTTAATATACATCGCTAAACAGTAATGGTGTGTGGGCCTCATACAGAAAGCATGTTTACCTGTGTAACATGTTTTGCAGCCAATTTCACAGTCAATGCACTCTCCTGTATCAGGGTCCTGCACCTGCCCTGAAACACAGAGGTCCAGAATACTGAATGCCTCTCTGTTAGGCAAAGATATCGCCTCCACAAAAACTCTGTTTTGCACTTACCTATGCCGCAGAGTGCTGTTTGGCAGACCCCATTGTGAAGTTTGTAATGTCCTCGACACTTGGCACATATGTTGCCATCTGTGCACAGTTCACAATTGGCTATGCAGGGCAGGCAGGCATAGTGACCCCTGTCAGGATAGAATCCCCGTGGGCAGTGTGTCCGACAGCGACCTTGGTGGAGGAAACGTTCCTGTCCGTCTTCATCTGAGGAGGAAGAGGAGGTCACGGAGGAGCTGTTAGCATACTCTATTTTCCCTTATCATAAAAATGCTGTTTGCCGTATTCTGAGAGGGAAAAACATTCAGATTCTCCTAATAAATACAGAGGTAAGCTTTAATCTTTTCTTCATCCGACAGCCAGTCGGATGAAGGAAAGTTAAAAAGACACTGCAACTGTGTAAAAGTAAGTGCCTAATGAAAGATGAGGATTGCTGAGGGAATCTGTGGCAACTGCTGGGAGGTGCTGGATTCAGAGATTTCACATGCATATTTAATAAAAACAGAGAATAGCGGCAGGCGAATGGAAGGCATAAAGATCATTATAAACTGACTGCAGACTGACTGCAGACAGCAACAGTGCCAGATCACTTCTTGACTGATGCTCCAACTAATATAAACACTGGCAATTAGCGGGAGACCAGAGATCAGAGCTGTAACCAGAGACAGCCTTGTGTTGGCCCTCATGATTAATGCTCTGCCACCTGCCACTAGCCTAGCAAGGCACCTGTGGCACCTGAGGCATCTCTGAGAGCAGCCGAGTTACAGCATTGTCTCATCTGCTCAGCGCCACACAGAAGACGTGTGAGACAGGGAGGAGAGCGGCTGCAAGCTGCTGCCTCTCTTATCCTTCCACTTCCCTCAATCACAGCATGATCAGAAAAATATGGCACATGACAACCAAGCATAGGTCCACCCAGCAACATTGTATAGTAAGAGAATCAGTAGTGTGTGTTCAAGGGAGGGAGAGTGTGAGGGAAGGAGGGACAGAGTTGCAGCTTTTGCAGGTTGAGCCTAGTCAACTGCAACAGCACTACTTCCAGCTCTTCCAGATATTTTTTCCCTGTTCTGATTAACAAAGGCCTCTTTCTGACACGATCACATTACACCGTGAAAACTCGGGTGAAAAACGATCATACATTCAACCCTTCCCTATTTCAGAGGTAGCCAGCAAGTCCTACAGCCAGCCTCTCTGATTGTTTAACAAGAGTAAATGGTAAACCAGAGCTGAATGCTCCTCATCGAACAAAAGCCTTTTTTTAAAGAGCTGGGTAATCATTAATAGACTAGTAAAAAAAAAAAACTGGATTACTGAGTCGTCAACAGGTCTTTGTCATAATCTGGTATAGGTGTGGTAAAATAATAACAAATTATAATAAAATCCTTTAAAAAAACAATTATATGAACAATGGCATGCAAATTTAGTGCTCTCATGTCCTCATTTCATAGGTACTGTGTTGGATCTTTTTGCCAATGATGAGGAAAACTTAAGTTATTGTCACATAAGATACACGACTTTAAAAAAATCCGTGGGTATATCAAATGCACTGCAAGCTAGTGTGTGGGGAAAATGTAATGGATATTTAATAAACATCGCCTTTTTTTTCATTTGAGAAAGCCATCAACAACAGCCCTATATTCACTGCGTTATACGTGCTAAGAAAATCCTACTCACAAACTCCACAGGTAGTGCATTCAAACAGCTCGTGTCCGTAGCACTCGGAGCAGGTGGGATGACACAGGACACACTGGTTCTTCAGCATAAACTGGCCACTCGGACAGGGCGACGAGGGTTTACATCCAGTAAATCCAACGCAGAAGACCAGGAGAATGACAAACGCGACGGAAGACCTCATGGCTGTGCCCGAGGACTTTCGTTTGAAAGTGAGAAAGACGGCAAACAGTGAGGACTGTCTCCAAAGACGCAGTGTCCGTGCGGCAGGTAAAGCTGGCGGATCGATATGGGGACTCGGTGTGAGGCACCAGCCCAGAGATAACTTGCTGGACCAGTTCAAGTGAAACACTGGACAATGAGAATGGACCGCGGTGAGCATTTAGTCAACGAGCCAAAGAAAATGAGAAAACACCCATTCTCTGTGAGTCACGATAGATAGATAGATAAATAATTTCCCCAGCACTGGAATGTAGATCCCAAACCAAACGTCTACCTGTTAGGTACGTCTATTAAAATAACACCATGAAATACTGTTGGAGAATTTGTTTCTTGTAGAAACTCGAGATTTTGCCTGTGCATGACAGAACTTTAAAGAAAAATGAAAAAAAAAGATTAAAAAAAAAAAAGATTTCCTAACCTGTTGTCTAACCCATTAGCCCAGAGGTCTACTTCACCACCACCATCGTCACCTAATTTGACATCAGTAATAAACATTATGTAGACTGATCCCCCTTTTTCTATCTTATTTTTTGTTTTAAAGTAATTAAAACATAACATTTAGAAGCCTTGTGAAATGTATGGCAGATTTATATATCCACGGGTGTTCCTAATAAAGTGGTAAATGAGTGCAGCAGTCTTCAGTGTGCTTTTAATCTGAGGAGAATAGCTTTGCAGTCACTGGAGTTTCGTACAGGCTGTGATTACGCTGGCTTTTCATTTCTTTCCTTCTTTTTTTTTCTTTATTGGTTCATGCACAGCGGCCTCTGGCGGCCAAATGATTAACGCGCATGCGAGGGCGTGTGCAAAAAAGGGCTCGTCAGAGGCAGACGTCACGCGGCTACTGGAGGAGGCGTGGCTTGGTTCTGCTGCAGCGGAGAGAAACATGACATGGGGATGAGCGAGAGAGAGGGAGTGAGTGACACAGCCTGATAGGAATAAACGGCTCGTCAGAGGTCTGGACTCCAAACGCTATGATGGGGAGCCATGACTGAAGGCAGAACGGTAAGAGACACGGATGGTTTCATCTCCTTTTACATGTACGTCTATGCTGTATTTCGCACACACGGCGCGACACGTAGATTCGTGGCTCATTTGGTAGTGAGCACAAAAGGCTGCCACTGCAGACAGGTGCACCTGCCTTTATGGGAGTACGTGCCTCGATGCATACAACTTCAGCTCCTGTGCGAATACCTTTAATTTTCTTTGGACGAAGACAAACGCACCGAGGCCACAGATTTCCTCGACGGTCTGGGATGCTGTAAACATGGACCTCAATGCTTAGTCACAGACCTTTGTGATGTAGCAATATAATATAGGCTTCATCCGAGGCAGCTGGGTATATATGTTTGCAGCCTAGCCTTAAATCACTTTTTAAAATAAAATAAAATAAAATAAAATAAAATAAATATCCTGTTAGGTTTATGAGGCTGTGAAACCGTGAAGGTTATAATATGTATATTTTCTGAGTATTCCAGACATGGGATATTAATCATTCCAATGTTTTTTTTTCTTTTTTCTTTTGGAGGGCCAGGTGGCTTTACATGGAGATGGTGGTAAAATGCATAACGGCTGGTTGTTTTATATTAAATCACAGCAATCTCACTTTCAGCTGAAGCCAAACAATAAGTGCAAACACCACTGCCTCTTTCATTCTGGTGCCTGTATGCTTCTCTTATTGTTGGCCTGGTTGACAAAACCTACCAGCTCTGCCTGCCTGTAAAGATAGTGAGGCCACTGATTCATTGCTGTGGTATTTTTAAAACACATTCACGTCCTCTGACAAAGACCTACATAATAACACCTCTTCTATCACTAATTATATTTGAGCTAGTTGCAACGCTGGTGTAATAAACACCACATAAATATGCAAGATTAGATTTCCGATCAAGTCAACTTTGCTGTCTTAACTTTGCCTCCTAGCCAGGTCTTTACTGCCGGGTTTTAAATTGTTTGCTTAGGTTTGTGAGTCGGGCTGCTGACAGCAGGCGGGTGTGATTTGGAGATAGCTTGAATAGTCGAGGGTAGAGCTACAAAGCTTGGGCCCGTGGCTGCAAGACCAGGCCAGGCCAGGCCAATGCCAGCTCCGTGGAGGGCTTCGGTGCAGCAGGGCACTGGGGAGAGGGCACTTGGCACCTGATCAGTTACCACAGTGAATTCTGTTCCTGTCAGTGGCATTTATCTACAGAAAAGCAGAGCAGAGATGACGGCTGTTGTTGAACTCAGTTGGGCTTTCATGTCACCGAGGCAGTGCCGCTTTATCAAACTGCTCTTCGGCTGATACAGAATGACGCCTCCTTGCAAACATCGGTGCCAGTTCCACTACCTGCTCGAAAACCTCAGCAGAGAAATTCCCTTCACAACGCATCACTATGGAAAAAAACCCAACAACATTAGATGCATAATAAATGCAACATTTCAGATATTCAGCATTTTACATTCATGCATATTTTGCATCAGAAACAAGTTCTAATTAAAGTGTTTCTACACTGGTATTAATGTACACAATCAAAAAATATAGATGGGAAGAAGAATCCATCTCTGTGCTTGATGCCCCAAAGTTTAGTGCTTTAGAGGAGATGAAATGAGTCAAGTGCCCATGGTAATCATGGCCAATCACTGACTGCGTAGCTCTGAAGTGGGGCCTGTCCTTCAGACGTCTCTACAGGTGGGGAGGCAGTGTTAAGTGGTCTGTCTGCAGGCGGAGGGAGGTCAGCTAGAGGCCAAAGATGCAGGCAGAGGGGCTTCTTTCACACATCAGCATAGCAGGTAGTGGTTAGCTTTCCAGCCACTGCGCTCTGGTCCAGTGTGAGGCCTTTTTTCTTGAGGCCCTAATTCAGCACACTGTTGAATTTGCGTATGAATGAAAATATGACGTGTACCTCCAAATTACAGATCACCTGTTTCATAAAGCTCCAATAAATCCCTACACAAGTATTTCCTTTCATACTGCGGTAAAGGCTTCATTCACAGAAGTGTTGTAATAAGATTATTGTGGAAATCCTTTATTGTAGTTTCTATATTTGTCCACGTTTACTAGAAAGGGCTTGTGTTTTACAGTTTCGAGTTTTTGATGTCTGGATAACTTTAGAGCTACGTATAAGCTTGCAACCAAAATCCAAAGGGGAGCCACGCAACCTTAAGGTTCCTTAAAAATTCTGTCGTGACGAAGCGCTGACATTTTTGTGTCGTTTTTGTTTAAAGTGATAAGCTGAGACACATGCCAATCAAGCAAACACTCCCACAAAGATGGCCCTCTTTCACCTTTTATGTTGTCGAAATGAATCATTTGTCAGTCGATTAACAGGGACGGCATCCACAAGCCAAGTTTAAATGAAAAGCATTTAAATTCAGAGAATTTCAGAGCTTTCCTTTTAATGTCGAATAATGTTTAATACAGTCAGCTTTCCATGAGCGACTTAAGGTATTTTCCCCATTGTCTTCACTTTTTAATCTGATGTTTAATTTAGAAAACAACCTCTGAAACTCACTCTACTTCCTTTTATTAGCCACTTAAGAAACAACTTCTTGAATCTACCAGGTTTCAACAGATGGTTCGATATGATGTTTGCTCAAACGCAACCTGTAAGAAAGAGGGCTCAGCTGAGACAGGGGGCAACAGGAACTGGATTTTAGGCTGTAGCAAGGAGACGTATGCGTGTGAACACGTTTGTGTCTGCTCCTCCTGCACCTAATTGCATTTGTGTTGCTTGGCTTGTCTGGTGCTGAGTCTGGGAGCAGGGTGCTGCTGGAGACGTCTGCCATTGAAACATTCCCCCCTCAAGGCCTAGTGGGCACAGCCATCCCCTGTCTTGCCTCGAATCAGCAGGGGAGCAGTTTCTAAATCAAACAGAACACTGTTGCACAGGATACCCTTGGTGACTCAATTTAGATTCATGCAGGCCCACAGCGTAGGTCATTTCCATTCATTCCGAGAAATAGGTCAGGCTTCTTTTTCTCCTGCAAATTCCAGCTGTATTTGGTAGAAACTCTGTGTTTCTCCATTTTGTCACATATTAAAAGGCAAAAGCACTCACGGGTACGGGTAGAGAGAAGCAGCCGTGCTGTATTTGACTGTAGTCTTCACGTCATTCATTTTCTTAAGTAGAGAAAGAAAACGCTACCCTGTCTATCACTGTCACTGTCACTGCCCTGTCTTTCCTCTTTGCTTGTTAAGCCAACGAATATATCATTGAATGTTTGACGAAACCCATTCACGGACCAATCAGGAGCCAGTTCAAAAATGTCTGAGAGAAATCGACTGTGTCAGGAATAACTAGTTTTTGTTTACTTATGAACGTTTTCGCTGAACATGTTGATGTCCCCCTACATTTATAGTCACATAGCTGCAGATACTATACATTCATAATTTCACAAGAATCTGTGGTGGGAGGTGTGCTTTGATCATTTCCCTGCAGCTGGTTTCCTCCCACCAGCTTTTGGTGCATCTTTTTACATACTTTAGCTGCGTGGTCTGGACTCCATGTGAGGTCACAGTACGTGTAGGCTGGGGTCACGGAGCATTTTTTTTAAAAGATGGTTTAATTGTTTCCCGTACAAAGAAGGAGTAGTGCTTCAATTTGTGCAGTTTATTTGAATTCAATGATACTTTTGAAAATACCGTGCTCGCTTTAGCCAGTTTGACAACACTAACTGCTGTGGCGCGTAAGATTTTAGTGTCTTATGATTGTAATCCTCAAGGTTTCCTGGCAAATTGAACAGCTGGCTCTTGTAACCAGCCATTTGGATGTGGGGGAAGTGGCTAGCCTAGCTGTAGGGAGTTGGTAAAAGGCCAAACAACCAAAATAGCAAGATTTAAGGTGAACATATGATCTGGTGATTCCCTAATAACTGTGTTCTGAGAAGAGACAAACTTTTAACTGGAAACAGAATTTAAAGGATCTTCTACGTATGCCTTGGTGGCAGACACAACAGGGCATTCAGAGGTCCTGCTCGCTCTGTGATAATAGGTTGGTATGGGTTCGATAACATAGGAACACATTAGGAAAATGTGGCGTTGAAGTGAATAATGTACAGATTAATGGGAAATATAGGGAAAATTTGAGCCTTTGAAACCAAATAGTGAATCAATTAAAGGGATTTGGTGGCTCTCTTACGTTGTGGGGGCATTTTGCTGGGTCCCCTTTTTCTTTAAAAGGAAGAGTCACTGCAGTTTTTTTCTATTCGCTTTCATCCTGTGACAA